ATGACAATAAAAAACAGTTGTTCTTGGCCTGCCAACTCCACCGCGGGGTAAAAGTTCCTTCTCCCATGTCTATTTAATTTTACTTTGGCGGAATTAGATTTCTGGAAGATAGAACTTTTCGGCGGGAGGAGAAGAATGTATACACACATATACAGCACTCAGTCACCCAAAACAAGGGTGTGTAGTTTTCCATGAACTTAATAAACAAGTTACACATATCAGAAATTGCTTTCTCCCTTTTGGAAAAAAGGTCCAGCTTCTATGTCCCTGTCATCCCCTGCACGAGTCCTGGTGGTGCAGTGGGATCCTCCCTGGTCTGGTCACCACAAGGTCAGCAGTTCAAGCCCACCAGCTAATCCAAGAGAGAAGGATGAGGCCATCTACTCCCGTAAAGCTTTAAGTTGGACTCAAGGTCAGTGGGGCTGGATTTGGCCTCCCCTATCTGTCATTCACAGTGGACAAAGACCAGGCCTTCTCCTCCTAAAAAGAGTGACAGTCCAGGAAACTCACAGGGGCAGTTCAACCCTGGCCAGAGCGTCACTGTGAGCCAGCATTAGCTCAATGGCAGTGGGTTGGGTTGGGTTTGATCCTCCAAAGGTTCATTTGGCAAACATTCTCCAGGCCTGCTGTGTATAAAGCATTGCAACAGTGAATATACAATTTTTAAGCAGCATTATTTAATTTTAAGGCACATCTTATCTTCACATTTAGACATCAATTCTATTCTCTTTTCCAGTGACATAAAAATAACTGTGCACCTCACAATTAGTGGGAGCCTGCCATTCAATTAGAGGCAGCCAGTGGCATAGTGGTGACTCGTAAGGCTGGTAACCACAAGGTCAGCAGTTCTAAATCACCAGCCACTCCACAGAAGACAGACCGGCTTTCTACTTCTGAGAAGAGTTACAGTCTCAGAAACCCACAGGGGCATTCTACCCTGCCCTACAGGGTCACTGTGAGCCAGTCAGTACTGACTCAATGGAGTGAGTTCCATTAAATTAACTATGGTATCAGACATAAGAGGATTCTTAAAAGCTTAGGGAAGAATGGAATTCAAAGATAGTGGAATTTTTTCACGAAATTTCTGAATCCTTCTCACACTGACCCTGCCCTCCATCTATTTGCAGATGTTGTTTACAGTGACTGTGCTGTACTGGCAGCCAGAGTTTCCTCCTCCTGGGAGGTGAGTGGGGGCAGGGGAACCCCAAGGGTTAGAAAGGTTTAGCCTACTTTTTGCAAACAGTGGAATTCTGCTTCTGAGGCCAGGCACTGCATCTGCCCCCAGCAGCACAGGGAAGATACCTGGACCGAAGAGTACAAATGTATCAATAAAGGGTGGGGCTTTTGTTTTTTTAAAGGATGTATTCCGAACAATAGGGGCTGGTTTTCCTTTTCCATTTTCCTAACCATAGGGTTTCAGGTAGTGTAGTGGTTGCAGATTGGGCTGCCATGCTCAAGATCGGCAGTTTGAAACCACCAGCCGCTGCCAGGGAGAAAGACAGGGCTTTCTACTCCCGGTAAGAGTTACGGTCTCGGAAACTGACAGGAGCAGGCCCACCCTGTACGGGTACAGTTGCTGTGAGTCGGCCTCACCAACTTGATGGCAGTGGAGTTGAGGCGGGTGACAGGGTTCAGCTTTCACCCTTCATGAGAAAACCCCTAAATGAGGGAAAAAGAATCCTTCCCCAAAAGCAAGGAAAATATAGGGGGAGGGGGGCAAATAAATCTTATTCCACAGTGAGAAAAAAGCAGACGGAGAAGTTGCCACCTGAACTCTCAAGCTCAGAAAACTGAGGAAGCGAGAATAGCATGACACTCTGAACTCAACTGGCTGGGTGGTGTCATTGCTCAATGCACTCAGCTACTCAGCAGTCAGAGGTACCTCAGAAGAAAGGCCTGGCGATCTGCTCTCTGGAAAATCAGCCTTGAAGATGTTAGGGAGCACAGTTCTGCTCAGGTACCCATGGGGTCCATGAGTCGGAGCAAATCAACAGCAACTCGTTACTGGTATCTTTTCAAAAGTATGTTGGGACACTCTCCGTTGCCAGAAAGGCGATGGGGGTGTTTACAGATAGATACTGGAAAAGCAGCCTGGGCCCAGAGCATGGCTGAAGCACCGATCCTAACATCGCAGCAATTATAAATCGCACCTTCATATCCCTGGAAGAACAGAACCTGAGGAAAAGATGGGTTGTGGGGCTGGGTTGTTGATAGGGAGATGCAACGAGGCCTCTCGCCAATGCTAAACTGGCCTCTTTGGGCGGCAAGAGCAGAGTGCTCTGCGGTCACGTGGCAGCACCGGGATTTCTCACTTGAAAGGCGGAGAGAGAACGAACAGCAACAAAACCAGACCAGAGCATCGTGCTTGAAGCCCAGCAGGCAGGCTGGCTGCCATGTGGAATACACAGACTTTACACCGTGTAACTTTTGGCTTCCCACATCTGGTGCTTGATCCAGGCTGATCCAGCTGCATTCCTGAGCATCAGCACACAGGTGTTTCTACTGAGGTTTCCCGTTTGGGGGCGGGGAAGATGAACTGAGGGGGCACAGCACCGGGGTGGGGAACGAGTAGCCAAGCAGACTGGTCAGTGTTAAAATGCCCTGCCAGGGAGGTGGGGGACGGGCTGGACTGCCCTGTGCAGGAGAAGCTAGCGAGGGAGGTGGGAGGGCAAGCGCGTGTGCCGCCCCAGCAGGGATGCGCCTTGTTCCTGGAGCTTTCCAGCAACCTGAGGTCTTCCCACCGGTGTGTCAAGGCCACTTACTGCTGAGTTTGCTCCCTGGAGATGGGGGTAGAACACGCTTTGCTTTCTCTCTTGTGCCAGCTTGGAAGGTTGAATGTCTTTGTTTCCTAATGGAATCCCATCAACAGGGCTGCCGAGCTCACTTACATGGGCTGAACTGAGTTAAGAAACAAGTTTTTGAACAGGGCTGTATTCTCCAGGGTGCTGAGAGGGCAGAGCTTAGCTCAGCCCCTGCGGAGAAACACAAAATCCTATTTATTGTTTTATAAGAACCTCTCTCTCTCTCTCTCTCTCTCTCTCTCTCTCTCTCTCGACTGCATCCAGTCTCCATGCTTCCTGCTCCCAACTAGAAGTGCTATGGAAACATCTTTTTTTACACCAGCTCCTAGCAGGCATGTCTCCTCTTTAAGGAAGGAGCGAGCCCTGGTGGTGGTAGTGCTTATGCGTGGGGCTTCAATCCAGAAGGTCAACAGTTCAAAGCCACCAGCTGCTTCTCGGGAGACAGACTGGGCTTTCTACTCCCATTAAGAGTGAGCGTCTCAGAAACTCAAGGGCAGTTCTGCCCTGTCCCGCAGGGTTGCTGAGTCACCACTGACTCTTTGCAATGAGTTTGGTTCAAGTTTGGGCTGGAAGTCAGGAAGGCAGAGCCTGGGGCAGAGTGAAAGCCCTCCAGCTGGAAAAGTCAATTTCCTTATTTACCAAATAATTGGACTTGTGAAGACGGCCTCTAAGATCCAGGAAGAACTCAAAAACCCAGATGAATACAATCTCCTGTGAAAGGAACACAGGCCCCGGTAATGAATTACTCAACTTCACAAAGACCTGAGTGGCTATTAAATCTTACCTCTTCTTGCTGTACGTCCCGGGGGTGGGGTGGAAGGAGTGCACAAATGATAAATGTGCTCGGCTATGAAACAAAAGGTTCAAGTCCACCCAGGAGGACCCTGGAAGAAAGACCTGGCAAACGACTGCCGGTGAGATTATGACCAGCAAACCTATCCTAAGGAGCACAGTTCTCTGTTACACATGGGGCTGTCAAGAGTCAGGCTCAACTTGACAGCACTGAATTTGGGGTGGTTTGTTTTCTCCGACTTCCTGTTAGCAGTCAGGAGGTAACGTTGTGACTGAGTGGGCAGCCCTCAAAGAACTCTGGTGGTGCAGTGCATTCGGGGTGAGGCTGCTAACTGCAGAGCTGCCGGTTCAAACCCACTGACTGCTCCCACAAAAATGTAGTCTCTGAAGTCCTATGGAGAAGTTCTACTCTGTCCCATAGGGCTCCCCGAATCTAACCGATTTGGTGGCCGTGGGTTTGGTTTGAGGTTTGAGGTACTGCTCCAGTTAGGGAAAGGAGAGTTATGAGCTGGGCTCCTCCTGGCAAGGTCAGCAGTTTGAACCCATCAGCCTCACTTTAAGAGAAAGAGGAGGCTGCTCCCATAAGGATTACAGTCTCCGCCGCCCAAGGGGGCATTTCTACTCACCTCTGGGGGTCACCATGAGTAGATTCAACTGGATGTCAGATGGCCAACCCCAGGTGAGTGTCCCAAGTGCCCTTGAGATATTCACCCTGCCCCCCAATGTCAACCTTGCCAAGTCTTTCCCAAGGCTGAGCTTTCAGACCATCCCTGGGGAATGTCGCCAGTGTCACCACTTACCACAACACCCTGCCATGTTGCTGGGCTCTGAGGGAGTGGGGAGGAGCTTGGGTGACAACTTTTGGCTGGTGAGCCCCAGAGATCCTGAGCATAACTGGATCCACATCCCAGCAAACTCACTGCCATTGAATCCATTCTGACTCGCCCCACCTCCATAGGACAGCGTGGAGCTACCTCTGGGGGTTTCTGAGACTAGACGTCTTTACGTAAGTAGAAAGTCTGCTCTTTCTCCCAGCTCCTTAGTATGAACTTTGGCCCAAGTTCCTCCAGCACCACCGACAGCCTGGGAGTTACAAAATGATGGCACAGTTCTCTAGGGAGCCACTGAGGAGCATTGGGTCAGGACTCAAAAAAACTGCAATTTACTCTGCACAAGTGCTTTGGGACCATGGGCTGGTCACGGGGCAACCTCCTCAATAATATTTGCCGAACGACTAGATCCAGGCATGAATAAATGATTTGATCTGATTCTTTGAATGTGGAGTCCTCCCACCGTGGAGCGCCACCTGCCAGGCACCTCCACGTCCTCAGTGCAGGGGTGTTCATCACTCTTCCCTCAAAAGTGAAGCCCAATAATAGAAGTCATATGAGCACACAACACCACTGATACATTGACCCATTCAGAGTTTATTCAAGTGATTCCTGGACTTGCTGAAATGTCTAGGATCAACTTCTCACTTTGAGTCTCCTAATTTACAGTATCAGAAAGTCTTGCAAATCCGGACAGAGAATCTGCAGGAGCAAGCCCTTTTCCCTTGGGGCGTTCATAGGCATCAGAGCAGTAGCTGAGACGATTCCTGCCCCCGACGTAGCGGAAGGCTTCCTCGTGGGATGGCTCGGAGCACAGGTTCCCAAACTTATTTGGCCTCTGCCTTTTTCAGAAAAAAAAAAAAAAAATACTGTGTCCCTTTGGCAATTAAAACTTTTGTAGTGTAGCCCATAATCTAGGGTAAAGTGTAGGTATTTGCTTTTGCAGAAACCCTGGGCTGTTCCCGAGAGAGAAAGACAGCATCTTCTTCTCCTGTAAAGAGTTAGTCTTGGAAACCCACAGGACAGTTCTACCCTGCCCTACAGGCGACTAGGAGTCAGAATTGACTGGATAGCTGTGAGTTGAGTTGGATCGCTCCAGTGTCCCTAGGGGGTGTTATCACCCATTTTGGGAAACCCTGTCTTAGAGGTTGTATTTAGGTCCTTGTTTTCTCTGTCTAAATGCACCTGTAGGCACTCTGGTGGCACAGGAGCTACGTGTTAGGCTGTAAATCGCAAGGTCAGCAGTATGAACCCCCAGGAGCAGTTCTACTCTCTCTTACGGGTTGCGATGAGTGGAAATCGACTTGATGGCAAGGAGTTTAGTTTGGGGTTTCCCTGGAAAGGAATCTCAGCCCCACTTGGAGTTGACAAGCTTGTTGGTAAGGCAGCATCTGCTTGAAAAGGACACGGGCTTGGTAAAGTGGAGGGTCAGAAAACACGAGGAAAATCTCCAGTGAGACAGACGGACATGATGCCTGCAACAATGGACTCTCTTACACAACCATCCTGCAGAGGGCAGAGAGCGGGCGACATTTTGTTCTGTTATACCAGAGGCCGCCCAGAGTCAGAACCAGCCTGGGGGCCACTAACCACCATAGGAGGCTCATGGGATCAACCAGCTCTTGGCACCTGGTGAAGCAAGAGTCGGCATCAAGGAGCAGGCGTGAGTCCCAGGTAGATGGGAAGACAGTCCATTTGCAAACACCACTGCAGGTGCCGGACTCTACAAGTTTGAGTTCATTTTAGGTGGAATCAAGTCGAAGGAGGGCGACTCAAACACAAGCAGAGAAACGGACAGTAGGCTGGGCTTTTCCTGAAGGCCCTGATGTCCTCCCACAAGAACAGCAGAGCATGTCGAAGAGCGCTCAGGATGGAACCTGTAGACGTGACCTGCCCTCGGGGAGCTCACTGGCGGCAGATGCTCTGAGTTTACAGGTCAGGCTTCCTTCGACTTGAGTGTGCATGGGCGTGTGTGTGCAGTTCATTCGAGTCAGGGCCCCTTGCCAGTCCAGGGGCCTGCCATGAGTCGACACACATTCAGATCATGGAAGGGCATGCCGGGGGTGCCTTTGAAGGACACGAAGACTGGGATTACCTACCTTTATGTTTTTCCTGGTAAGGACACTGTAAGAAGTCCAACCCCCAAAATGCAAGGCAGGAATTCCGAGAAGCACATTGTTCTGCCTGGGGCTGGATCCTGCCATTCTGCAGGTGGGCCTGACCTGCCCGGTACCTCCCTTCTCTGCACCCAGTGACCCCACCCCCACCCCCCTCTGGCTGAGGCAGAGGAGGCGGGGCTGACCCTTCGACATTGACATGTACCTGTCCCAGAGGAGAGATTCCCAGACATTTGGAATTTAGGTCTTCCCAGAAAAAGACCCTGGGGATCTGCTACCCAGGCCACACACAGTGCTCCCCCTCGGGCAGCAGCTGCCAGTTCTGGATTCACTTTGAACCCAGAGCAATCTGAGAAGGAGGGAGAGAAATCCGGCTACTGTAGCAGGGACGCCAGTTCTCTTGGCCTGTAAGCACATGAGGGGACTTCAACTGAGTCCCCCAGTGTTGATTTTCCCCACCCCTTCCCTGAAAGGTGCCCCTGGTCAGCCTTTCCTGAAGCCATCTCAGATGCTGTGTGGAGTAGTGCTGACACCTAGGGGCGGATGAGAGAAAGTCTCAGAGCTGCCTTGGAAGCAGGTGAGGCGGGCTGTGCCACCTCCCATCTTGGCACAGAAGCTACTGTTTTCCCATGGCCCCTCCGGACATGTCCCCAGGCCTGACTGCCGCCACTCCTACAGGAAGCCCCCAACATCTACCGGGAAAGGCAGTTGAACTGTTCTAAAAACTGGCCGGCTCCCCACTCGATCCAGGTTTTCCCTCAACCTGAGAAAGGTAGCTGTATGGAAAGGACGAGTATAAAGATGACAGAGCTCCAAAAAAGAGGTCTTCTGGGTCTAGCGGGGACACCAGTCAAGAGGGACAGGGACTGCCCAGCCGCAGAGGTGGCCAGGAGCACTTCCTTACCAAACTCGCTGGCGCAGAGATGCTCAATGACGGCTTCGGATTTCAGCTCGTTGTCACACGGGGGACACACAGGTGTGCCTAGGGAGGGAAAGGGAGAGGGGTAAGGGGATGGTCAGAAAGAAGAGGGGAGGGAGAGGAACCACCCTGGGGAGAAGCTCATCAGTGGGACACGCTGACCGTCCGTCGTTAAAGGTCTCCTGGGACTTCTGAACAGCAACCTTACAAGGGGGTATAAAGCAGCTCCCCGCACCCAGCCTCTGACGTCACAAACAGGCCCCAGGTCCAATCTTGAAAACTTGGGGTTCGAGCTGTGACATAGGGCCCCGCTATTTAAACCAAAGTCGCCTGCGGTCGGTTCTGTGAACTGGGACCCAATGGGTTATTGTGCGTCCTAGAAAAAGCTGGCTTAGAAGCCAAGAAGATTTCCATCTTGTCTGTGCCCTGTCCTTTCTCCTGTAAGTAACCCTCTCCGATTCCAGCCACATTCCCAACTGGACAACCAATCTGACCAGCTCTCTCAGAGACCGCATGGAAAGAAACTCACATTCACACACTCCAACCTCTCCGAGAGTCCTATTTAATGAGTGTTCCTTCAGGAGCCAGCGGCAAGAGCAGCTGGTGTGGGGGTGGGGAGGCCCTGACAAGCACTGCCAAATGGAAGGACGGGGCTTGACAGGGAGAGAGACCCTCTGGAGGAGCCTTAGTGAGTGGTTGTGAAGTGCTTTGAAGAGGAAGAGTGTGAGTGTGTGTGTGTGTGTGTGTGTGTGTGTGTACAAGGGCCCAGGCCAAGAGCAGCTGGTGTGGGGGTGGGGAGGCCCTGACAAGCACTGCCAAATGGAAGGACGGGGCTTGACAGGGAGAGAGACCCTCTGGAGGAGCCT